AGTTAATTATAAGCCAGTCAAGGGATCTCCATGGATGAAAATTTAACGATGGAGGAACTTTTACCATGACAAAACCCAGCATCTACCTAGTGTCCTGATCGAAAGTATTTCAATCCTCCATTTCTATGTAAGGAATGGTGAACAGACTGATATATTGCTTATTATTTTTATTTCATTATGGAATAACCAATATTTTTTATTAATTGTCATTTGTGATAATTTCAATGTCAAGCCTGCATGCCTCCCGTTAGGTCAAAAATGGCTACAAGCTGTCCTTAAGGTTTCCAAGTCATTTTCTTGCTATTAAGGTAATTGTTTAGGACTTAGAAATTGGGGGGGTCTTTTTTTCACTGTCAAATTCAGAAGTCATGAACCAACAACAAGAAGTTTTGTACCCGTTTGAAAAACGTTGAATAAAGATTCGGAGGGCAAATGTTTACAACTTAAAATGTTTTTAATGACTTGAAACTCAAATGCAACATGCATCTTTCAATTCTGAATGTAAACCGTATGTATTAATTTGATTGTAAGCTATGAAATGAATTCGGAATTACGATACAAAATTTCTTCAGATTATCAAGTTGCAGTTAATACATGTATTCATGTATTTAAAATTGTAAAGTGATTCAATAATATCCATAACTGTTGTACTTGTGTTATTTTGCATGAAATCATGTTCTGTTTTACGTCTTATTTTGTACTCATTTAAAAAGGGGGATACTGATTGCGTAAGTCAATATAAAAACTGACTCCATTTTCGGAAAATGACATCTGTAACAAACATAAACTTTTAGCTGCCTCTTTACAAGCAGAACCAAATACAATGAAAGTTCCTACTATGTACTGGCTTCCGAAGCTGCACAAAACACCTTACAAATATAGATTTATTTCGTCTTCAAGCCATTGTTCCACTACTAAACTGTCTATTCTACTTACAAGTACACTTGGTACAATCAAAAACCTGGTATTAAATTGTTCAAATAAGGCCTTTCATTTGAAAATAGTGGAATTAATTACTTTTGGAGTGTTAAAAATTCGTTGGAAGTACTTGATAAATTGCATGCTTATATTCGTGATTTCGAATCTGTTCAAAGTTTTGATTTTTCTACCCTATATATACCACTTTGCCATATAATCTTATTAAGAAAAAATTCACACACCTATTTAAATGGGCATTTAAAAAGTCAGAATGCGAATATATATGTTCTAACTCTTTTAGGTCATTTTTTAGTAACAACAGACAAAAGAACTATGTCAATTGGACCTGCTTTGATACGATAACTGCCCTTGAATTTTTACTAGATGACATTTTTGTTCGCTATGGAGATTCCGTATATCGGAATTCCAATGGGGACTAATTGTGCACCATTTATTGCGGACCTGTTTCTGTATTGTTATGAGTTACAATTTTTGACTAAAATCTGCAAAGACCCATCAAAACAACATTTGATACAAAAATTTAATAACACTTTTAGATATTTGGATGATACATTGGCTCTCAATAATGACGACTTCAGTATGTACACTAAAGAGATTTATCCTACTGATCTGACTTTAAATAAAAAAGGCGACATTCACCTCAAAAGCTAACCAAACTTTAAACAGACTTATTCAGAAGGGATATAGTAACGATACTGTTATCAGGTCATTAAAGATGGCATATTTTGGTTTTAATATTAATTCACTCATAGGGTCTTTGAATCGGAAATAAACACATTTATTCTAAAACCAGTTGTTGGCATGATATGGGTTATGTTCTTCTCATATATTTTATGATGCCAGGTATGATACTAAACCGCTAACGGGAGGGATTGTGCTCGATTTTCATATGATGAAGACAAAATCTTTCAATCACTTTAATTGAGGTCAGGAGCTGGCATATCAGTAACTGCTAGTAGTCCTTTGTTAATTTATGTATCATTGTCATTTTGCTTAAGTTTCTTTTGTTATCTATTCTGACATTTTTGCGCCTGTCCCAAGTCAGGAGCCTCTGGCCTTTGTTAGTCTTGTATGTTTTTTTTAATTTTAGTTCATTTATATGTTTTGGAGTTTAGTGTGATGTCCACTTTCATTGAACTAGTACACTTTTTTGTTTGGGGGCCAGCTGAAGGCCTCCTCCAGGTGCGGGATTTTCTCGCTGTGTTGAAGACCCATTGGTGGCCTTTGTGCTCTTTGGTAGAGTTGTTGTCTCTTTGACACATTCCCCATTTTCATTCTCAATTCTATTTTATGTGTTCGACCTGTTACACTTTTTTCTTCGTAACTGGATTTAAAATTTATTTTTGTAATCTAAATTTTCATTAGCAGTTGCTGAAACGTAATTAAATAATGCATCTAATCATCTATCTTGATAAAGTGTTCTCCTGTCAGGTGTGTTGATCTACCTGTACAAGTGATTACTGATCATTAGCTGGATATCCCTCAGGGCTTTACAACTGTAATCAGGAGGAATCTTTGGATTATAATACAATAAGGGTTATGCAATTATTTGCAACTGATTATAATTGGTAAAAAAAATGGCGGTGGCTAGCGAAACGAAAACAAATTTTGACAATGGTGGGGATCATTTGAAGATAGCGGAAGATAATTTACCAATGGTGGTGCGCCATCATAAAACAGGTCATGGAGATCCCTGATCTCCATGGAAACAAGCATTCTGAGAGTATTGCATGGCAATACATACATGTAGTCCCCTACCGGATAAAAATTCATTATACTGGAACAAAATGCTAACTTGTTCTATAACTTGTCATGGTGTAAACAAAAAGTAAATATCATGTCAATATCTTCAAGCATGACTAAAAACAGTGTGGAAACTGATTATATGAGTGAATTTTTCAAGTCCAAGGACCATAACTCTGCACAAAATTATTAGACATGTTAGAGCGAAACAAATATTTTAACTTGATCTGTAACTTGTCATGATAAAACTATATACCAATTATCAATCAATATCTTATAAGCATGATGAAAAAAACATTAGATATGATTATAGTTCTCTAAAGTTTTATATGATGTAATACAGTACAGTGTATATCTATTTTCAAATTATATCAAATATAATTAATAGTTCCAAATATTTTTTCTTTCATTTGTCAAAAACTAGTATAGATTTGTAACTTATCTATAAAATGTCAACAACTTTTATCTACACAATGTAATGTATTGAAATATATACATTAATAAAAATAGATTATTATCTAATTAAAGGATTTCTCTTCATAGTTTTATATATATATATATATACATATATACAAGTCTAAATTGAAAACAACGTTCAAACCTATGATTGCGTTGGATAAAAACCTCAATTTTTATACGTGTGCATGCAAAACAAATTTCTTGTTAGAGGGGTCTTAATACAGCACAAACAACATTTTCCAAAAGACCAAAAAAGTGAAAAAGTATATTTTAACAAAACGCATTTGACTAACAGGTCTAACAACAAATGTTCTTAAATCCTGCTGACTGCCATTGGCGATTGCCAAATAAACGGATCACAAGGTGTAATAAATGGATCTTAACTTTAAATTTAATACCAAACAGAAAACAATAAACTTATATAGAGCATTCAGAAAATTAGTTTATACTAAATAACAAACAAATCTGCCAAAAAATTCTTCAATTAATTTAACAAAGAATGTCTTTTAAAAAATGAGTTATCTCCCTTTGTACAGAAATATGGTTTAACATAAGTACTCTAACATTAGATATGGTCCAGAGTTATGTCCATAACTCTGGACTAAATCATCAGACCGGAACAAAATTCGAACTTGATCTATAACTTGTCATGATAAAACTATATACCAAACATCAAATCAATATCTTCAAGAACGAAGAAAAAAAGTGTGGAAAGCTGATTTGCCTGACTGACGGATGGACAGACGGACGGAGTGCAAACCTAAAGTCCCCTTCGACTTCGTCGGTAGGGGACTAATAAGAAATACCAATGCATACCAAATATCATTGTTCTACCACTAGTGGTTCCTCTTAAATTGACCTTATCACAAACTAATACATGACATGTTGTAAAGAAGGCAAAAGTTCCAAAGCCGAGTGGTCTAAGTAGTCCAACTACTGTATCACTAGCCGGTTGACATTGAGGTTGTGAATTTAAATCCAGAACAGGGCAGGTTTATTCTATTCCAATCTTAATTCACTAGGATTCTTAGTTTTCCTACAAAAGGTCTGAGACTCTTTCTGGGCACTCTGGCTTCCTCCACCAAAAAAGAATTGATCGCCTTGAAATAGCCAATTGTTGAAAGTGGCGTTCGACACCAATCAATCAAAGTCAATAGACCATGACCGAGGAAGCTGGGCCAAATAGTCTCCATGGAAAAAATATGTGCCAATGCTAATATCATGAATATAACTGCATACTAAATATCCTTCACCTACCAATACACCTTATTGCTATTTGTCCGCCATTACTGGACATCACAAAGGTTCCCATAAAATTTTGACGTCATAATACAAAATATCTGACGCCACAATGGAAAAGTGATTGTTGTATGACGTCAACACTTCAAGCGGAACAGATTCTCAGGTCAGCCGGGACAGAATTCCAAATAGCGATAAGGTGTATAGATGTTCCCCATAAACTGACCTAATCACAAACTAATACATTGTTGACGCCACCACCACTGCAGGAAACATTTCACTTAAGTCTCGTTTTTTCTACTTCAGTGAGGGGAGACAAAAGTCAATTTCATATTAAATGTGTTGTCTCAAGAATAAAGTGCTTGCTATGGTGGAAATGGACCATGCCCACACAAAGTGGGAACCGAAGTAATTATTTGCATAGCTGTTCTATATTAAATATTGTCATAACTGTAAGCTATACTTAATATATAATGCAATAGCTTGATAAGAGCTATAACTATAATATCAATTAATGCATTTAATTTGAACTCTTATCCTTTATTTAGAGTCGGTATGTGCAAATACAAGTATAAATCCTGATAGTGATATACGATATATGCAATTTTTTTGCAACTTACTTCTTTCGATATCTGATTTAAAGCTTGGTCCTCAGCTGAAAATTGTTGTGTTGCTGACCTTCTCCTTCCAGATGCACCGCTCATTTTGCAGTTGTAAAGTTAGTAGGATACTCAAATGTTATCCTGAAACTTGAGCCTAGCGGTACTCAGCCGCAGGAGTTCGTCTACACACCCACTAAAATTTGTTGGTTTGCGTTTGTTTAGAAATGATTTCAAGATCAATGTTGTTTTTCTATATAGAACTTAATTGTCAAAATGTTTTGGGAAGTGTATTATGGAAGGTTCATCATTGCTTCTGTCGAAAAAAGATACTTTTGAGACTACTTTCCCATTAAGCATAGCAATATGGCCGAAACCCGGATGTGAAGTCATATTTGGGTCAATAAAATTTTCGTATAAAAATAGACAAAACGAATCATTTTTTGTACGAAACGAAATCATAGATAGCTGTTTTGTTAGGTTAGACAATCGAGCATGAAACCTGGTTTATGAGCAGAGACATATAATATATGTGGAATCAATTGATAGCTTCAGGGATGCACTGATTCAGATATGCAGGAGCCAAACTCTGGAAAGAGCTACCGAAAAAGATGAGGGAAGAAATGTCTTTGGGTCGGATTAAAAGTTTGGTTGGTAATTTAGAGGGCAGTTCGTGCCAGTGTTCCTCCTGCATATCTCAGTGAGCTGTAGAACATTTATTTATCTTATATACTCTTGCTTTTATATTTTTGTTTGCATACTTTTTATTTTGCTGAATGCTTGAAATTCTTTTAGTGCTTAATAGCTACTGAATGAATGTCAGTTTGTCTGCATTTTTTGTTTGCTTTTATATGCTTTGATTTGCTTATTATTTGCTCTAATTTGCTGTGCTTTGATACCAGTATTTATGCTTTGCATGATGTGCTTTCTGTTTTAAGTATTTTATGTCTTGTGTTTATCATATATCATATCATGTATGTCGGTTAAAAGCTACAGAGCTTAATATATGTTGTATTGTTATATGTATACCCGACTTTAAAAATCTTTTATGCTTTATGCTATATGGAAACAGCTTACTCCTGTTGTTCTCTGTACTATTAAATAATAGCATACATTAAGATTTTTTATAGTTTTAATAACAAATTTGTCACGTTATTTCCATTGCACTAAATAGTTATTTTCTGTTTAAATTGGGGTGTCGTTGGAATTGTAACGTTTTTCATTTATTGCATGCATCAGTGGGTTTTATTATCATCGTATAATCACATTACTTATTCTCATTAACCGTTATAAAGTAATTCATTACAATCTATTTTTTTATCACCTTCAATAAGAGTGTACTTGTTAAATGTCAAATCAATCATGTTAATCAGCTGGTGTCCCGTTGCTATGTTTATACAGGTGCCTCGGTTGACCTCAGCTTCGGTTGACCTTAGCTCCGTGCTCCGGGCTCCGGGCTCCGGGCTCCTGTTATTTAGCTCCTGTAGAATATTTCTTTGTTCAGAGTCATTTAACCATATTGTAATCAGTTACTAGAGTAGTATAAAAGAGAGAAATAGCTAAAGCGAGGAGGGACGAGGAGTGACGATTTTGTGTACGAGAGAAGTGTACGTATAGGAGATTTAAGATTATGCCACCTTATTGTTGAGCCTGCAGTTTAGATGTTGTAAACTTATATTATTGTTACTTTGGATTTTGAATAATACAGTATTGAACTTTTAATCGACTTTGTGTTTATGTTCACTTGCCAGACTTCATTCAGACTACACCAGGATCCATTTATTTATTTATGTGACCAGGATTTCCTTAATCACGCTACCAGTAGATTTCTAGGGTAACCCTGTTAAAGAGTATCATTGGCATTTGTCGTCCGTGTACGAGTGAAAGGCACGACCTGAAACTTATACACCCAACAACACAGCACAAACACACGTGTGTACACTTTAGTTAAAGTTGCATAACGGAAAACTTTTTCGTCACAGAATATTGTATACCTAACTGAGAAGAAGATGTCTCTGTTTATTGGGATCCTAGTCCAACTCAACCATACACTGCACACCTAACTATATGTCTTGCTAACTTGATTTATTTAATAAAGTTGTTTGGAAAATATTTCAGTATTATGGATGACAGACAGATATCTTTATTTTCTAAAATTTCGAACTCTGAATTTGAAATTACCAATTGAAACGGGCAGATGGCAAAATTGAGAAAGAGAAAACAGAAAGTGTGTATTTGCGCAATTTAGATGCTATTGGTGATGAATACCACTACATTTTTAATTGTTCAGCTTTTGATGACTGTAGAAAACAATGTATTAAATTTCATTATAGAAATAAACCTATCACTATGAAGTTTCATGATTTAATGAATTCCAAAACATGTTCAGAACTAAATGAGCTGTGTAAACTTATTAAGAAGATCAACAACACATTGAAACTTTTTTGTGTGAATAACTGTATACGTATAAATGTAAGTGTTTCTATCCACTATCGTACGTTATTTGTGTAATTGTATATGTATAATTATCTGTATACCAATGTAATTTGGTTTGCGAGAATAAAGATATATATGAACATATAGAGTGGATTTATCTTTCTTTTACCCAGCTGGCTCTCCTCTAACAGATGGTTTATCTTATATAAATCATACAATAATATGTAATGCATGTAATGTCTATAAAGTGTATATGTTTGTCCTTTTTCTACTCTTTGTTGCTTAATGATCCTTTGATTAGGGAATAAACTTATTTAAATTGAATATTGATTCACAATAGCGCCCGAAAAGGATTTCTCCTAGTGCATATACTTTTCTTTTCTGAAAGTTACCATTAGAAATCAAGCAAAAATAATTCAAACCACATACAAAGAATTATTAAACATACTGCAAAATCAATTCATATAACAGCGCTTTAACTAAAAAAAATATAACATGAAAAGCTAATCTACACGCAGAATAACGACATTCTGGTCCATTCTAAAACTGTTTTCAGTCCATAAACGGTCGGAAATGATCAGGTATGTGTTCCCCACGCAGAGTAACAGCTGCAAATTTAAAACTTTTACCTGGGGAATATCAAGGATATTATTATATATCTGAATATTTACTATCTTTTACATTTAATAGACCATGTAAACAGACAGGTGCTTATTTATTAACTGTACTAAAAGTTTCAAATGCCATTGATCCCTGTCTTTTAATGTGCAGGGAAGGCTTCTGAGCTTTTTGAAGCTGCGGTGGTTAGCACAACGTGATTTGAACTACACATTTTAATTGATCCCGTACCAACGTTTTCAATTTTCTTATCCAAAATCTTTCCCCAGTAATTCTCTCCTCCCTAGACCAATCAGTGTTGTGGTCTATATGACGGTAATAGTCAGTCGATTGAGATCTACCTTAGTGTGACCATGGAATCCCAAATGTTGACTGAGAGGAAAGTTTGGCTTACATTCATAGTCACTACGATGGCCGTTCATACGTTTGTGAAATGGCTGTTCTGATTCACCAACATACTGTTTACCACACTGTAGAAGAGACCGTGACAGATTTTATAAATTGCAAATATGGTGTATTTCGTATCAATGGAGTGACTGTTCAAATATATATATTCAAAAAATTGTGTTTATGACTTTTAATGTCTTTTGTATGTGAAAACCGTTTGGTAACAATCCTGTATAATCATTGGACTAGAAACTTATATTAAGTATTCAATGTATTCGGTAGAGCAACATATATAGACAAAGATGATGACAATACATTACCGGATAAATAATAGTACCACACTAAACTGATTTAATAGTAAAAGCTTTTTTGCAATTAAATCATGAAGGTAAATCTAGACAAGAGGTACCCCCTTAAATCGTTTTTCTCACGAGGTCACTAAAATCCGAAAGTTGATGAAACAATTAGTGGAATTTAATTAAGACTTAAATTATTTTCCAACGAATGTTTCCTTATGTTAATCGATTGAAAATGTTATTTATTGCTAGACAATTGTTTTTGAAATATTCCCTATTTTACATGATTTTCTTTGCAATGGAGGACATCTTTAACCAAAGTGAACACGACGCACTGTGTGATTAGGCGCATTAAAAAAGAAATAGGACGAACATTCAATATATGTGCATGCCATTGGCAAATAGGAAGTTGAACATTGAATTAAGAAATAGAAACAGTTTCACGTACACGATATATGGTATAACCAGAAGCAGCAATATATCGACAAGCTATGACTTTTAGTTGTTGATGCGATAGAAAAATGCGACATAATACGAAAATGAAGACAGACAAGGCTGATCGCGGACGAACAGATGAAGAAAAACTATGCAATGTCTTGTATAATTTCGTTTTGGTTAAAAAAAGATGTTCTTTTCGGTTTTTTTTTCCAATTAAATAAGTCACTGAAAATCTTAGTAAAGATTGAAACAACTGAATTTAATTGATAAATTGGCTTTTGTTCAGTGGAGGTCGTTGGTTCATGTCTGTCAAATTTGTTTTTCGTAAATTGTTTTGTTATGAATTAGGCCGTTGATTTTTCTCATTTGAATTGTTTCATATTTTTCATGTCGGGGCCTTTTATAGCCGACCATACGGTATGGGTTTTTCTCATTGTTGAAGGCCGTACGGTTGCCTATAATTGCTTACATCCACTTCATTTGAACGTTGATGGATAGTTGTCTCATTGGCAATCATACCACATTTCCTTATTTTTATTTTGGAAAACCCTACCCTTTTCATGTTTGGCTATGGGGCAAACAGAATTGACAAATATATGTTTGATGTAGTTCATAAGGTTCGTAAATTAAGATCGAATCAATATAAACTTACCACAGTGTTACTTTGAATAACCTCAGTCTGAAAAGTTATCAATTTAGCATTGTAGTAAGATCTTAGTCATACTGTCTTTGTGAGAACCAACATTGAATTCATTTTTTATAGCTTATACATGCATAAAAATATTTATTTTTATACAGGTATTTCCAATCATTGTTCTACCAAATGTACAAATAAAAAAAAAGAGTTTGAAATATTAAAACAAACAATTCAAAATTCATATATCCTACTAAATTTCAATTGCTGTCCTTTATTCTGGCATGTCTGATGAGTAATGTACAAATAGCAGAATAAATTAAAAAAAAAGGTGTACATTTCAATAAGCCTTCAACCCACGACACTGAAAAACAACATAGAGGTCAGTCTACAGTCTTCAACAAAAGACAGGAATCGAACTCTAAATCGCTCCGAGTCACTAACAAAAGACAGGACTCGAACTCTAAATCGCTCCGAGTCACTAACAAAAGACAGGAATCGAACTCTAAATCGCTCCGAGTCACTAACAAAAGACAGGAATCGAACTCTAAATCGCTCCGAGTCAC